AACAAAAGTCAAGTCACATTTGGAATCAGCGTTCGAAGACGAGTTTTATGGTATGCATTTCCTCTCAGGCCACGGACACCAAGTATCATTCCCTTTTTAGCGGTAAACAGAGCGAGATACTACCTACTGAGATAATGCCCTCATTAGTAAGATAGCGTCTTTTATATGCATCTGACCTCCACCCCATCAAAACTCACAGAGGTTTTGATATAGACCACTTTGTTGGTCACAGCAATGCATTCGTCTCTGCGGTTCTTTTGGCTCTTGGAATTCAGAACGCCTCTAGTGTTTTCTGCGCCAACTTCGGTTTCTCGCGATAGGTTCATGACAGAAGTTTCAAAGACTCGACCTTCATGGTATTGTCAGCGATGGCGCTTAGAAACAAAACTACTATATTTTTAATATAACCTACACTATCTCCATGGAATTATAGATTGAATATGACATCTGAAGTTGCTCACCCTTCCCCTATTGTTCGCACACTTGTCTGTGGAGACTAAACTCAAATTAACCTGATTAGCTGTCTGATTTTGTTCATGTTTTCTGTTTATATATCGCTGTACTACTAACATTTTGGTTCAATTAAAGGAGCTCCTCGAGCTTGCAAATGAAGAAAAGAAATGAAAATAGTCTCGTAAATGTTCTGCATGCTCTTTACCATTTTGCAAAGCATTTTCTTCGTAAGCACTTTGGTGTTTTTTACGGAGCTGGCTTGAAGCGCTTTTCACAAATCCTCCAAATTTTACATAGCTCTTTCTAATACACTCCGATTATGCTTCTACCATGATTAAGAATTCAGGCGCTTTTGGTACCTAGAACACCTTCGCATCCACTTTCGTAGGCAAAACTTGAATAAAGTTGCCTTTTTTGAGAGCTGAACTATTCTCTCACGATTTTTACAAGCACAAGTCTGGATCGGGAGCTTGATCTAAAACCCCAAAGATAAAAATCATTTTTATGACAGAAAGTTTGGGTTGGGAGATACCTCTAGAGGTAAAATTCATTGCGGCACTTCATGGTAAAAGCGAAAGCAAATTCAAACTTTTTCTTGCCTTTTCGTCCAGTCTCGTTGCGCTCACATTTGGCAACTTCAAACTGACACTTGTTATATTTGTAACACATCGTTTAGACTATGCATATTTGAGTAAATAAATAAGTTGGTAAACATCAGGCTGTTTATCAAGTTTTGCACCTACTTTTATAACTTTTCTCACTTTGCATAAGACGCACTCAAATTTCACCATCATGTAGGTCGTGACGTAGGCTACAAGTGCAGGCACATTCTGCAAAATTCTGATGTTGCAGCAGGGGTTACGGTAGCTATATGGTATGAGGGGAAAAATCACAGATTATTACGAAATTGGTTGAAACTTTGCTTACATGGGTTATCTGAAATGATGATCACGAAAACGATCTTGGCAGAGTCAAGCGTGGGGGTGGCACGCCATACCTGCGAGATTGTATTGAGGAGTCAAAAGGGGAGGGGGTCGTAGTTGGGTATTGTGATATTAGTTACGAAATGATATTTGTGAGCAGTTTGTCAGGTAACCACAGGCGAAAAATCACATGAGGTAGACTATCTTAGCAAGCCAAAGACGTGCTACGAAGCTTAATGAGTATCATATCCATAATTAGCATGTTAATCAACCCCTGTAGACAAAGTTTGAGCGAATTCTGAAGTTTCGAGATACTTAGCCACCTAAGTGAAATGGTCATTTTCCAACATAATTAACTTTGTTTTGAAGGTGAACTAGTTATTCTTTTTTGCACTCAAAACGAAGCACTACTCCTTCTTTGTCCATGCCAGAATTCCCGCTTCAAAAGACCCTTAAACTATGTATTTAGAAGCCAACCAAAATCTCGTTTTCCCATTTTTCGGTTTTGATGGCTGTGTTTTCACCGAATATTACTCAGAGCTAAGAAGATGAATCAGGCTCAAATCACTTTTATGGAATCTGCGAGGTTTAAACTATCGATTCATATAGAAATTGTTCGCTAAAAATGTTTTTTGATATAGTTAATGGGGTGTGGCACCCCCCTCAAAAAGCTGTGGCCGCTACAAAAACGAATAACTAATTCACCTTTGAAACAAAGTTAATCATGTTGGAAAATGACCATTTCACTTAGGTGGCTTAGTATTTCAAAACTTCAGAATTCGTTCAAACTCTGCCGACAGGGGTTATTAACATGCTAATTATGGATATGTTGCCATTATGTTTGACAGGACCTTCAAGTAAAGCTATCTTAGGTACATAGTTCAGGGGTCTTATTGACACAGCAATTAGGGGGGAAGGGATGTCGTAACCAGTGATCTTGTGCCTTACCTCTTGATTGACCCTGGATATTGGTTTTGCATGGTAGGAGATCTGCAAGGTTACGGTAGGTTTACGGTATGGAATGCACGCTAAACAAGAAAAGAGGGGTTAATTCGATAAATGAATATGAATTTCATATTCGCCAGGGCAAATACATGGCACGACCGCGTGCAAAGTTTTGGGGCGAATTCTGAGACTTCAACTCCTGTGATTGACGCTCACCCCTAACCAGCTTTGGGGTGCCAAATCTTGAGTTGTCTCTGAATTTCAATTCTCCCTTACTGCGCTAGATGAGTCAACCTCTAGCAACAATGCATGCAGACTTTCGGATTGTTATGCATAATCTAGTTTGAGAACAACTCCATTTTAGTTAAAACCTTCTAAATCCTCGAATTTCACTAGTTTTCGAAAACTCTCGGATTTTCTATTCTGTCATCAGAAAGCGAGCGGCTTGTGCCACTTATAGCTTACACGGCAGTCTACATAATGTCAGAATTTGACCGTGCCGATATCAAAAAGCGAGAGGTCACGGACTCAGTTGCAAAACTTAGTGAACAGCCCAATAAATAGAAGCACGATGTTTGATTCTAAGAAAGCTGGCAGATAAACCGAGCATAAAGATGAACATCAAACAGTCGCCCACGTCCCTTACATTTCCGTGAGCGTAAAAACGGGGAACTCAAACTTTTGCAAACACCCATTTAGATACAGCGAACTGTTCAATGGAACATTAGAGCTTGAAAACGGCGAAGAAAGACAATTGTTTTGTTATTTTTGCGGATGTACTCGTTCTACTCTACTCGTACCCCCTTATTGTGATTACTATTACCTGCAGTTGTGCCTGAAGGCATTTTTGCAGTTATATCAATAAAAACTCAAACATTCCGGCTTTAGTCCGCTTCGTCTGCGCTACCGACGCTACAGCATGTTTTTACTCAGTTCGGTACGCTTATAGACAGATTTTAGCCACGGGCCTTCTTATATAACAGGCCGTGAGGATGTGCAAGCACTCTGAACGCCTGATCCCATCAAAAGCAAGGACGGTATCTATCAATCTCCTGTACGAGGCGGGGTTCTTGTACGGGTCACAACCCGTACAGGGGCGGGCGCTAGCACCCGCTATACACGGAACTAAATTGGTGATCGAGCTCCTGCGTGGAATACGGAGGAGACAAGTACGCCAGCAGCTCGAACATGATAACAAAAACGTCTGCTGGAATAGACTTCGTATGATTTATTTTTGCGCTTCTTTTTTGCTCTTCGGTCTTAGATTTTATGTAACCATATGCACGTTGTGATCACGCCTACAATATTAAAGTCAGACTGAGGAGTTGCGGCCGTCTGAGATGTCAGTCGCTTAGTGTATACTGTTATATTGTAGGACAATTCATGGCATTGGGATAATTTGAAGTGACAGAATCGTTCATACTAGATAAACTTTTCAAAGCAAGTTAATCCATTGAAGATGCACTGATTTTTAGCCAGTGTTGATTCCTACGTTCTCTTTTGATTTGCGCATAAGCACTTGATATTACTCATTGTCAGTCGTCTCATATGTTTACTTTTTGAGTAATTTAGCTTCAAGCATCTTTGCGAAGTGGTACAATGTCACTGTTGAGTTAAAACTTTGAGACTTTTTCACACTTATAACTGAACAAGTTTCAGGCAGGTATGAAGGGAATGAAAAGTGGGCGTTGCTACTGTCACAAATGCTGCTGACGAATTTTCGGACTCTATTATTGACAAGGAGAAGGTAGAGCTTTATGAGGGAAATTATAATCACAAGAGAAAGGAAGAGTTTGAAGTCAGGTTTTGTGGAGCTGCGTTATACATTCATCAATCAAGAAAGCCTTACTTTTTGTGGAGCAAATCAATGAAGGCGGTATTAAATACGGGTTGCTATGATCGACTCGCATTGGCCGTCACAAACTACCATCACTGACAAATTGTCTAGCGGTTTTAGTAAAAACCTAGGGTTTTGGGTCCGATTTGACAAGTTTGACCACGTCGTCGAGAGCGGCACTGCCATCTCGACAGATGCGTCCCTTTTGCCCGTTTAGATGCGCCCGAAACTTTCGTAAATCTTGGGTTGGGCGCCCTCACCTGTCCGGGGGTTCATTTATAACGACACTCAACAGCGTTTGGGACTTTGATAAATGCTGTCTCAGATATCGACTATACGGACTAGAAGGACACAATTGAGATTACAGGAACGTTGCATATGCTCAGAGAAAACCTGCCTAACTATGACTAGACAATATTTAACAAACGAAAAATGAGATCATATAAACGGAATTGTGAATCTCATATCAGGTACAACTTTTCTTAGCGGCTGTTCGTAAAAGCATAGTTTAATTAAACACGCAATGTTATTTACAATCAGAGAATTAGAAAAGCTTATATCTCTAGCTTTTAGTGATCAGGCACAAAAGTGAGTATTATCATTATCGTCATAGCTATATATCTGACTTGATAACATCAACAATTGACTACCTCCACTAGGTTCTTAAACTACCTTTTGTTACAATGAGGCTTGAGAAGACGTCTTGCGAATGAGTTCTTGTCGTCTTTCCGAAAATCTTTTGTCGACCGTGTTACGATGAACACGTTGCTGTTTACACCGGCGCGACATACTTCTTTGATCATTGCTTTCCAGTCGCCGAAGTGCACTGAAGTTTGACCATAATGGATATTATGGAGTTGTTTCTGAAATTAGCGACAATTCTAACTGCTACGGAAGCATTTATCGATCATGATTATGACTCCGTCGAAGAGGAAAGGTCTGTGGATCTCTCACATTCAACAGATTTGGCGAGACCTGCACGCTACAGGTAAGAAAATTGTTCTCTTTGAGCTTTTGATGAATATCTTATAAAAAGCCTTTGAACTGACACATTAAAGATTTCTATGCTGAATGGGTTATATTTGTGAAGTCAAATCAATTAAATGATAAATCTGACATAAATCTACATTAGTTCCTTTCATTTGCTCTGTTGCAGTACTCGACCCATGTGCTGTCATGGATATGGCGCTTGAATTGCGATGTGCAAGTGCTACTTTGTAGCTTTTTCAAGAGAGCTTGGCTCGGAGCGCACAGAGTCTTTAAAGGCAGTGTCCGGGCAAAAAGTCGATTTTGAGATTTTGTGCTTATCTGGGCCTATTCGCCATGCTGAATCCGAAAATTCTCACCGGAAAGCGCGAAAACGGCGAAAAAGGGCTAACGCTGGACGGAAATCAGCAAGTGGGCGGGGTCTCCCCCAATGTGGATTCACGCAAGCTTCCGGAGCAATCTTCTCGATTCCAATTTCAAGTCATGTATTCGCACCTGGCCTGTGGAGATCTTAGAGTGCTCGGAATTGAGAAGATCGCTCCAGAAGCTGGGACCGCGAAATTCACAGTGGGGAAGACCCCGCCCACTTGCTGATTTCCGTCCAGCGTTAGGGCCGTTTTTCGCCGTTTTCGCGCTTTCCGGTGAGGATTTTCGGATTCAGCATGGCGAATAGGCCCAGATAAGCACAAAATCTCAAAATCGACTCTTTGCTCGGACACTGCCTTTAAAGATAATGAAATAGGAAAGTACTTTGATGAAGAGAAAAAAATCGGTTGTTTGCCTATAAAAACCAAAAAAGATTTGTGTCTAGCCAGAATAACTGCTCTTTGTTTCCGGTGAACGAGCTCTGAGCTGCAGGAGGAAAATGGGGACGAAGAATAAGCGACGTAAGGACAATTCCGAAAAGTGGGCGGAACGGCCGAATTTTCAAGTTCGGCATATTTCCGAATTGTTTGAATTTCATTAGCTTACTCAAAATCCAGATTTTATACCCATTATTTTTCATGATTTGAAAGCTTGAGCAATTTTTGAAGCTCCTGTGCAGTCTCACATTCCTTGAACTGCGATGAAACGTTGTTTATATGAAAAGGTATCTCGGCCAGCGCCAACGAAAAGAGTTAGAATATCTACTGGTTTGAATGTTCTCTTCCATAAATTGCTTTCTTCTGTGGCCTTTTCTTCGAGTCCTCAATGCGCACAATGACTTTGCGCATACCGCCACAGTTCAAGTCGTGGGGCCCGTAGCTAACGTTCGTCTCAGCCTTGGCGAGAACTGTTTCAGTGAGAAGTTTTCACTGGTCCAAATGCAAGTCGCAAGGTTTTGAAAAACCATGTTTCCTCCGTTTTCGCCCTTTCAACCTTGATTTTTGGATTCAGCGTTAACCCTAAGTAGATTTGTTAAAATTCGACTTTTTGCCCGGGCACTCCCTGTGAAGCGGAAAATAAGACCCTTTTTGAAATGGAATTGTGAAATATCTGCTGAAGAGGTGATGCGCGTAAGACACAATAAAATTTCAAACGGGATCAGGTAGTTGAAATGCGTTGCGAAGTCGCACGCCACAGAACCCGCGCGGTTTTTCTTGAACTGGTTAGATCGCATTTTCAAGGAAACCTCGCCCCTTGTAAGGTATGGGAGAATATAAGAATTAGTTAGGAAATGAACCTTTCCTATTTTGGAAAACATAAACCCACCCTATATGATTATAGTAGAAAGGTATGCTATAGGGTGGTAAAACACTGATTTGGCTACTTTTTGGAACATAGGGGTTATTGAGGACGTTGATTCACGAATATGGTGCGCTTTGCCTTGCAAAGTAGGACGATATTCTGATGTTGAAATGCATATAGTCTAACGCATTGAATTAAAACCTCATTTCTAATCAAAGCTAGGCTACATCACCCAATTAAAGCTCACAAAAAGACTCTCAGGCACAATTGATATTATGATCGTGACAAGAATGCTTAGAAATCTACTTCAGGAAACTTACCCGAAGTTTTGAGCAAATCTGAAATTTTGATTCACATACTACAATACCCACCTTAAAGGCATTATCCAGGGTAACTGGGAAGTATCGAGATTCTGATGCAGTGCGGGAGCACGGCTCCTGACTGATGCAACAGTTCAAGTCCGATCAAAAAAGATGGATTCTGAAACGAGAAAATCGCTTCGAAAAAAAGGCGAGAAAAGGGCGGTACGTTAATCGCTCCTCCTTGACAAGTTTTTGACGTGGCAAATGCTGTGGGGGCCGGCCATACTATTCCTGTGACTCCTGCAATTCCTGCGATACCTGTGATTGTTGCGGGTCCCGTAACAATGCATATTGCGAAAAACAATGTATAGTGAAACTCGCAAAGCGCTCCGTAGTGCGGCACATCGGAAGTCGAGGAATCACAAGAATTGCAGAGTTTACAGGAGTCGCAGGAATCACCTCCTGAAATAGTATGGCCGCGTTCCCATATATCTAACGTATTATCAACCACGTCAAAACTTGTCAAAGGCGGGATTAGTGTACCGCCCCTTTTTTGAACGATTTCATCGCTTCAAAATCAACTTTCTTCTGTGCAGTCAAAGGCATTGTCCAGGTCAACTGGAGGGTGGTGAGATTTTGAAGCAGTGCGGGAGCGTTAGTGTTGCATTAGCCAGGAGCCGTGGTCCCCACTGCTTCAAAATCTCACCACCCTCCAGTTGACCTGGACAACGTCTTTAACTGTACAGAAGTGCATTTCTGTGCGAAAAAAGTGTGATATTCGTGATTACCATGTCGGACAAAGATAACCCTTATGACCAAGTTTGAGAGATACTTAGGGCTATTTTGGTTTTGGGGCTCTGATTTTGGGGTAGTTAAATAGCTCCGGCTTTTATTACAAAATGTGACTATGATGTCAAAATGATGAATTATGGAGTTACGCATAAGAGCAGTGCGAAACACAACACTTGGCGCAAATTATTCACGAACTTAGCTCGGAATTTTTTTCAAAAAGAGCCTCCCAACCGTCCTTCGTGCTACACGTGGTGTGAGACGACTTTGCCGCGCGTGATTTCGCGGCCGAAATGTGTTAAACGAATTAGTGTGAAAGGGTTTGTAGCGTAAGAACTGGCTATCATAGGGTAAGTGCAGGAATTTTCAAAAACGCCATGCTGTAGAAGGAAGTAATGTGGATGGAGACTATGGTCATTAGTTTTATTTTGATTTTAACTCGAGTGCTTTCTGTGGTGCATGCGAAGAATCTACTCTCGAATGTAATTGAATTGAAAACTATTCCGAATTATCATAAGCACTCGCTCAGGAATTGCACACGCGACACCGATATCATCGACAAATTGCTCAACGGCACAGGCTATAAAAAGTTTAGGATACCGCGTAAGTCTTATGAAATGATATCGTAACACCACGCAACAGTGGATTTGTAGAAGACGAGGGAATGAGTGTCTCTGTAGAAATTTGGATACAGGCAATCAATTCAATAGATGAGCTAACCAACGACTTTGACATGGATATCTACATCACAGAAAGATGGCTAGATCCCGCGTTGAACTTTGAAAACCTTTCACCTTGTAAAGGTAAGGAAACGTGTGTTTTTGCCGAATCTTTTGAAGCGAGTATTTAGGAAATTTATCGCTTAACCATCAAGTGCTGGATCGACTATGGACTCCAAACAGCTGTTTCGTAAACAGCAAAACTGCTCATATACATACATCGCCTTTCAAGTATGCGCTAAGGTTTACTCGACTTCTTCCAAACTTTGCTTTTAGAAGTGTATTTCTCATGTTGTTTCCCAATGGCAGTGTAATGGTGAATTATCGAGTGCGAGTAAAAGGTCCATGTACAATGGAGCTCAGCAATTTTCCTCTCGATCTGCAGAGGTGCTTACTCATTTATGAAAGGTATGGGTAATATTTACATACTCCAATTATAACTGAACAGATCATTCTAGCTTCAATTACAATAACCAGGAAGTTCGCATGCGTTGGTTGGAAGTCGAGCAGCCAGTTCGTCCAATGGAACAAGTTGTACTGCCAGACTTCGACCTCTTTAAGATTTCAGCGTATAGAATAGAAGAGGTGAGGTTACTCCATTAGGGATCGTTCAGACCGCGCCGCTGTCCGTCCAGACCCGCTCGAATACGTCCGAATCCGCCCAAACCAGCCCGAATATGTCCGAATACTTCCGAATACGCCCAAACCCCTCTGAACGCCGGAATTGCCAAAGCGGAGCAGATATGCGTGCAAATTGGCTGGAGCCCATGTGGAATACTGCGCGTGGTGCATATATCTTAGTCACACGTAGCTCGACGCGTATCTGTGCGCTTTGGCAATTTCGGCGTTCAGGTGGGTTCGGGCGGATTCGGACGTACTCGGGTGGGTTCGGATAGATTTGGCGTAGTCGGGCGGGTTTGACGGGTACCGGCCGGTCTGAACGATCGTTTACTGGCGTTTGTGTCTTGCAGAAACTGGTGGTTGTCCTACAGCTAGTTAGATCTTGGCACGTAAATTTTATCCCTACGTAGAATGAGTTAGGCTGATTGAAAAATCCCAATTCTTTTCAGAAAGTTTATCATCGCGTGCAAGAACTATGCTGGCTAAAGTGCGCTCTTGCTGCGCGATGTTGCACTTAATACATATACTGAACAGCCCAAAAAATGTTCTGTAAGCAAAGAAAGTTTCAAAAGGATATCTTTGCTTGGAGCATAGCAGAGCACATTCAGATGTTAGGCTCAGCACAACTTGCACAAGCTTGGTAGTGGCTTCTTGCTATATCCCTCATATTCGTCAGTTACTAGCATCTGACTACTACGCTTCTGTAACGCAGTCAGGTGTGAACTAAGTGCAAATACAGGGCTCATCGTTAGCTGTAAGCTACTGATGAGCTATATTTTGTCAGGGGCAGTTTCTAACAACATCTAGCATTTGCAGGATATGTGCGTCAGTACAGCGTGTGCCAAAACTTTTGTAGCCTAACATCCCTTCTGTTGAGAAAGAACGGAACAACATAGAGATTCAAAATCTGGTGCACACATTACTCAAGCTGTAACAAATACAATTTAGCATTCAATTCGTTGTAGCTCTTTTCTTATCCACGGAAGCTTTCAGAGTGTTTGCGATTGCCACTGCCGTAACGCCTATCAAATTCGTCCCATCCTTTACGTAATCTTATCACCCAGAAATACATGATAGAGCAAGCTTCCACTTACAAAATACCATAGAGAAAATTGCTTGTGAAAAAGTTAGGACCATAAACGACTTCGAACGCCTGCGTGGATCTTAAGTTGGAGATTTGGATACTTTCTCGAGAAATGAAAACAGAAAATCGGCTACTGTGATTGGAAACCAAGCTCGTCATTCAAGTTGAACTAGATTCTCATTTTGAGCACGTACGAAGACAAAATTGCTTTGAATCCAGTGATTGCTATAGTTCTACACATTCAAAAATAATTTCTAAAGACGTAGTTAACACGCATTCAAAACTGCTATATGTTTTCGCCTGTCTCGATGTAGTAGATTTTTAAATGCAGCTACTATATAATAGAGTAGTTCAACGTCTCCTCTATATGTCTATATTGTAGACATGAATATGCATTAGATTGTTCCAATTACTTCCAGTAGCACGATAAATTGTAAATTCGGAGAAAATAGATTTTGCACCCTCAGAAATCAATGGTTCAAGTTTCTATTTTTTAAGTGCAAACGAGAGACAAGGATTAATTGCAGCATTGTGTGATATAAGTTCAGAAAAGATTCAGCTTTGAAGCTTTTGGGACACTTTGTACACTATAGCGTCGTATATAGCTGGCGATGTCTTATCAGTCATACCGATCTCAGTGATTGTTGGTTTTGTAAGCAAAGGCAAAGTGCGCGAACTGCAAGTTTTTTAGAGGACTATAAAATCAAATACCAAAAAGGTAATTTTTCATCAGATTAGACGCTGGAAGCAAGCATAGCTTCTAAGCTTCATATATATGACTTTTCGTAAACTTTACGACCACTTTACCACTTTACGAAGGATCGACGGCAAAATTCGAAACGTCACTTAACTGTGTGGAAAAAGCTATTGTGACCGAATTTTAATGTTTACATATACACGATCTTTGTATGGTATATGTATGTATGTATGGTATATGTATATAAGCTATCTGAGACTCTTGCAGCCTTATCCGGCCGGAATGTGGGATGAATTACACATGCACATAATGTTTGAACGACGATTTATTTGGTATTTCATGCAAGCATACCTTCCTACTTATCTTACCATTTTCATCAGGCAAGCAGCAAGCACGACAAAGTAGAACACTACTCTAATAAAAGTTAGTTGTTTCAGTTGGATCTCCTTTTCATTAGGAACTCAAGCAATGCCAGCGCGGACGATGCTCGGAGTAAACGCACTTATGGCTATGTTTTTCCAGTTTGGCAACATCATGAAGAATCTTCCGCGGGTGTCCTACATCAAAGCCATAGGTTACTGTTTTATTACAAAGGCAAATGACTCACTGACATCTCTGAAATAAAAGACGGTGTGTCAGTGTGTGTGGCATATCAACTGCAGTGTGGGTACACCAGCATCTCCACTCCCGCACGCAACTCTGCACCTTTTTCGCAACGCGAACGTGGAAAAGACGGAGCCTTAATCGATTGGATGTGATTAGAGAGCATGTTCGCGGAAGAGGTGCAGATCCCGCGCAGAAGTGGAGATGCTGGTGCACCTGACACTTGAATTGATAAGCCCTGTAGCTTAGTTTGCCGTACAAATTTTTTTGCAATCAAAAAAGGTGAAAAAATGAGCAGGCACAGACGCAACTTTTGCAGTTTATCACAAAGTAAGACGTTAGATGTTCTTTTTCTCCTACACTCGGAATTATCACGCTTATTTCTTTTCTTTAGATGTGTGGATGTTGGCGTCAATGACGTTTATCTTCTGCAGTCTTCTCGAGCTAGCCGTCATTGGCTACAAAGTACGAGAAAAAAGCAAAAACTTTAGTAAAGTAACAACAAAAAAGATGGAGGTAAGGTTTACACATTGTTATTGCTGTTTGGCATGGTTTCTTATTCATAGGATAATTAGATCCGAGAAGCGAGGTCAAGGCGAATGAAGAGATTTTCACTTACCTAGACTTATTCGCTACTGTTCTCCAAAAATACCTTCTCAGTGAAAAAATGGCAAAGCAGCTTCATTTCTGTGTGCTACACTTTGATGGACGAATCAACACATTTACTGTCATAGTGGAGGCGTCGCGAGTCTCTTGGAATTACGACGCTGTGGCAGCGTAGCGTTGAAACCCAAACAGAGCAGCAGAGCTTCTGGGCGGAGGCGATGAAGTGTGGCTTGAGTCAATCTTTTAGAGCGTTTTTTGCTTCAGATCTTATTTTATGATAACGTATGAATTTCGTCCTCGCAATGCTTATATACAGAAGATTTGAAAATCGGTGGTGTATCCGAAAACAGGGCTACCACATCTCAGGTTCTCTCTGGGACTGTACCCGCCTGGTTGCAGGGAGGTGTAGCTAGCTAGAACTTTTTCAAAATTGAACCTGGTACTCACTCACTCATGTTGTCACCAGTAGGTGGAAGGGTTTGCTGATGTGTTTTTTGCAAGTTTAAAAAAAACTGGAAAACGACAATAGATTTTGTAAGACTATTCCAGCGTTTTTCGCTGATACAGTCAACTCAATTCAATGATTTAACGTGTCTATGCAGACGACTAGTTTTGATTACAAGTACCAGAAAAGAGCTGCAGGACGAGGTAATACAAAACTGTAAAACGAGCTAGAGTTGTATGGCTTGAAGCTCAATACCAGGAAGACAGAATACATGGAAGTGGGGAAGCACACTCCAGGTACTGTAAGCATCAATGGCGAAGTGCCTAAAAAGAAAACGTCATACAAGCACCTAGGCAGTTCAGCGAAAGGAGTCCTACAAGAGGAGGCCGCAGGCAGAATGAACACATCGTGGATGAAATGGAGAGCCTTGACAGAAGTTTCGCGAGATAAAAGAATGTCAATGCAATTTAATTCCTAACTGTGCCGTACCGTTATCCGTCCAGCAGCCTCCTACGGCAGTGAGTGCTGGCTCTGTACGCAGGACGAGGAGTGCAAGCTCAGTGTCATGGAAACAAGTATGCTCAAATGGACCTTATCAAACTGAAAGATCACATCTGCAATGACATTTTTAGAGCCAAATGAAAGTAGCTCTAATTGCCCAGAAAATGCAGGAGAAAAGATCACGGTGGGCGGGCATGTGCGCAGAGGGGAAGAGAGCCATAGCATGAGGTTAGCCTCAACGGTGGACGCATCAAGTAAAAACCTGTAAGTAGGCTTAAGACGAGGAAATAGACATCAGGGCCGACCTGCGAGAACTTGGATTAGATGAAGACGACGCCTTGACAGGAAAAGCAGACCCTGCATGAGCGGGACAAATGCGAAAATAAAGAGCTTCGTTACGGCGTAAGTCATTTGAACTGCGCATCTGACTGAGGTATAATACCTGCTTTCCTTTTTTAGCGCACAAGATTCATATAATCCGAGTTGTTTAATAGTGAAAAATTATGAAAAGTGTGTTTTAGTGTTTACTCATCGAGCCACAGCTTCATAGCTCCATCCTTGTACCTGTCAAAACGTTTTTGAAGACAACATGAAAATTTTTTGCCCACTGCACGGGAAGCAGTGAGAGTTAACAAGTAATTCCGCAAATACTACAGAATGCGCAGTGTTCTGTGAAATTGGGTAGCATTAATAGGTTTATTTTGCTCTTAGTTGGTCAGAACCGCAGCAGTTGGGTTGATAACTAATGCAATTCTTGTCATGAGTTTTCAGCTGTCAAAAATCAGCCATTACATTCTTCGTATCATGTACATTGTGTCTAACAAGGGAATGGTCAGAAGTCGAAGTGGCCAATCCCTACAAGCTGCATACCATTAGATGCAGCATAAAATGCTGACTCTAAATCTGTCTTCCTTATCTGCAGAGCGCTTTTGTGGACGAAATTATAAGCCGTTGAAGGTCATTATTTTGCTAAGAATTTGTGCGTGTAAAAGGCAAACTTGGCCGTAAAAAGCTATTTTCGGCTCAGTGTTGGACCAGAACATGCAACTAAGTCACCTCGTATGACCCATACCTAGAGGTGAGCTAAAAGAGCAAAAATGTGCCTAATCATGCAATTTTTGTACGCGATTTTTTCGCAGTAGAGCTGCTCATAACTTCGTCTACAAAGGCGCTCTGCAGATATGGAAGACAGATTTGAAATCAGCATTTTATGTTGCATCGAATGGTATGCAGCTTGTATGGATTGGCCACTTCGATTTCTGACCATTCCCTTGTAAGCTGCTTGATTTTTGGTAAGAAAAGGGAATAGGCATTTTTGAAAGATAGGATCTCGGTTCTATTGAGGTGCAGGGAAAGCGAATCTGTTCGCAAACCAATGAAACACCTTGAGCCAAAATTTTTGACACATTTTTGTTAGAGATTGGCTCTTAAGCATTATGCTGTGTGCGAAATGTGCCATTGTGCTCAGTACAAATTGAGAAATTCAAAGACATTGGGATGTGACACCAAGAAGAATTTATAGCATCATTGTACGTAACGGGTATATTGGTCAATGAGGAGGAATGTTGCATTCTGAGGTATTTAACTTGCTGAACACGAACGTCATACTTGTTTGCTCACAAGTTAAATTTATCGTAACATTATAGAAATTTTTCATGCAGAGTGAGTAATACACATCAGATCGAATATTCCCTCATACCTATTTCTTAGGCCCGTATGCACGTACATCCCCGCGGGGAGGGGAGGGGATCTGAGAGGGGAAGCGTTATATCTCGCTAGTCTATGTATCTTTCTTCTTCTTCCTCTGTCTTGGTTTTGAAGGTTCTCATACACTGATACTTGCGCATAACGGATGCCAGCTTACTGCCATACAAGATTAGATATTCACTATTTCGTCTGATCCCCTGGGGATCCCCAGGGGATCACCTCACATTTTCAAAGTTATTTATCTTTCTGAAAACTCGATTAAAATGTTCTAAAATTGTACTGTGGATATACTACAGCACTGCTAAATGTATTTATGGTAGAAATGAGTGAAATCCCAAGATATCAGAATCTTCGATGAACCGCTGCTCGCGAGCCAAGGATTATCGAAAAAATCAAAATCTTCAGATTCCATTTCTTCTGTCGAAAACATGCTCAGCAGTATCGTAGTATATCTTCAGTGCAATTTTGCAGCGTTTTCATTGATTTTTCAGGAAGATAAATGACTTTGAAAATGTGAGATGATCCCCTGGGGATCCCCAGGGGATCGGAAAAAATAGTGAATATTTAATCTTGTATAGCAGTAACCTGGCATCTATTATGCGCAGATATAAGGGTATGAGAACCCTTATAAGCACGATAGAGAAGAATGAAGAAAGATATCTAGAGCAGTGAGATATGGCGCTTCCCCTCTCAAATCCCCTCCCCTCCCCGCGGGGATGTACGTGCATACGGGCCTTAGCGGGATCTGGAGTTATTTGTTTTTTTCTCTTCTGTTATACCTACTTTCACTCCTTCAGCTTCCTGACATCCAATGTCAGGAAGCTGAAAAAAAGGGCTACATCTCACTTAATTAGTGTATGCAAAACCAAAGAATGACTGAGCCACACTGGAAAGAGAATACAAAAGCTGAAACGCAATTTTTTGAGCTCAAACTTTCCCTTGCTACGAATGTTGTAAACGTACAGTATTCAAAGAAGAAAGGCGTTACACCGCCGGTAAGTTTTTGTGTTGGCGATTGTCGCAGAATAGAACGTGTAAAGGTGCGCAATCGCAAGTCCACTTTGTATTAATAGGGTCAAAGACACTCCAGAAAATTAAGGATCACTTTATTCTGTGTTGTATTGGCGTTTTACCTCATTACGAAAAGTGGCACACTTACAATTTTTATCGCGAGTTTCTTGTATTTCTCCGTATATGTATAGTCAAATTCTTATCATTTGCTTCTTTTGGTCCTTCGTCGTTGGGGCTCTTTAACTGCTACATTCATGTTAACGGAATACATTTAACCGATGGATCATCCCAGTCAATGAAAAACTGGAGAACCGTGTTCAAATCAATCATCTCGTTTCAGCCCCTCTGTGATGGATCTCCGAGAGGTTCCTCGATGTATGAGAAGCGATTTATGTTTCCTCCCGGCGTTCATGCTCCACGATCAGTCTCAAAGGTAGGGATTTTTTTTGTCATATCTTTAGTTCTATGCATTTGAAGCTTCGACAAAGGTTTACTGATATCTTGCTATCCCTTCTAAGTTCAAGTGTTTCAAGCAGTTGATCACATTGATAGAAATTGTTGACTAGCACAGCTGTGATTCTGAAAATTTGCACAATCAAATGGGCGAAGAAATTGAGAGAAGCTCATCAAGTTACACCACTGTTCATCAGCAGCTTCTTGCCTCTATAGTCTACGGTAAAGTCAATAATATCAAAGAAGATGACAAGATACAGACAGGCCCTTCCAGCATGTTATAGACAGTAGAACAACACGATGACGAACCGGACGCGCATAATGCCAACTTCTAAATTCGACTGGGCCCATAAAACGAGCGCGAATTAGCAGGACAGTTTCGCAATCAAATTTGAATATGCTTCATGCACTTCTGTGAAAACGAAAGTTGGCTGAACCTACGGGTTGGATTAGACTGCGCGGCGTACGCTGCGTACGCCGCGTACGCCGCTTCCCCGCGAAGTCTGGCTCAACCCTTAGAAGGCATACTGTTGTGTAGCTCATTATTTTTTGCAGAACTGGCAAGTATTATAGGCAGACTTCAATCTAATGTCACTCCTAGATTAACGAGTACAAAGCGCCCTTTTTCCATTTTTTAGCGAGCCGCTCAGTCGCTTCACTTGTTTCGAAAAACGAAACTTATGTCGCACTAAACTCTTACACAATATGCAGCACAATTTTAGGTCTTTTTTCGCAAGGTTCTCTGGCGTGTTTGGGCTGGACAATTTTGAAAGAAAAAACCCGCGCGCCGTGTACTCGTGAAATCAGGGTACATTCCGTTAATTGTTCATTTTATACACTTCCTTGTGCATGAAAAACATATGCAAGAGCATCGATATTCACAACATCTACAATCTTATACATAAAGCTGAATGTTTGTTTGTACAGTCGAGTAGATTTAGCGGTAAATATAGTGTGCTTGCACAAAAGTTGAAATGCGGTGAAATTGGCGCGAGAAATAGTTTCGACTGTGACGCCGGCCAATTGCGCGCGTAAGATACCCGCGGTACTGACGTGGCTACTTGTTCACGCGCAAATTTCACCGCATTTCACCTTCTGTGCAAGCACACTATATTTACCGCTAAATCTACTCAACTGTATGTATGTCTGTCTGTCTGTCTGTATGTCTGTACGTATGTTTCAAATAGAAAATTCCATTTCTGAACCGATCCGGATCAAACTTGGCACACATACACTTCGGGCCCCGGCGGGTGTCATAGGCTACTTTTCGTCATCGATCGATATCGATTTTATCGATTTT